CAGCCCGCACGGCCCCAGCCGCTCCGCTGCATGTGGGATCTCCCAGACTGGGACACGAACCTGTGTTCCCCGCATCGGCAGGCGGACTCTCACCCACTGCGCCACCAGGGAAGCCCTATGGGGAATTTTGAGCATACATAAAAGCAGAAGAGTATAATGACCCCATGTAACCCCTGCCCATCCCAGGCCTACCCTGCCTCAGCCTTACCCCCATCCACTTCTCTTCTGTTTTATTTTGAAGCAAGGCCCAGACAAATATTTATTCCATCCATAAACACTTCAATACACATCTCTAGATGATAGGACTTTACAAACTAATAAAACCACCATACTTCATCACATCTAAAAAATAATAAAAAATTCCTTAACATCATAAAGAACCCAGGCAGTGTTCAAATCTTCCGCGTTGTCTCATAAATGTTTATTTTCATGTCTGTTGACTTGAATCAGGAACCAAATTAGGTTCCCACGTGGCGATTGGTTGGGATGACTTAGGAGTCTTCCCTCTCAAGGCTCCTCCTCCACCTCTCTCTTTTTTCCTTGCAAATTTGTTTGTTGAAGGAACTGGGTTACTTGTCCTGTAGAGTTTTCTCGGAGTTGCTTTTTTAAAAGATTGGGACAGTCGCAGTGTGGTGAAATCTTGGAGGGGCTGCAGTGGCAGCAGGGAACCCACAGCTAGGAGAGGCTTGCGCTAGCCCAGGCTCGATCTTGCAGCGTCCTGGCAGACGTCCTGGCAGTGGCTGGCAGAGGCAGTAGAGAGGAAGAACATTCTCATCCCCAGGTCTCCACAGAGGACGGTGCTTTCCCTTCCCAGTTACCTGTGGGCTTGACATTAGCTCTCAGCACGGTGGTTCTCCACCCGCACGGTGCTTTAGAAAAATACAGACACCCAGTGTACCGTTTCTAAGATTCCCATTCGGTTGGTCTGGACTAGCGGGCTCAAGAGTCACTTGAAGAGCTTGTTGAAATACAGGTTCCCGGGCGCCATCCTCAGGGATTCTGATCCAGCAGGTGAGCACTGCGCCCGAGAACCTGCATTTCCTACAAGCTCCCAGCTGACGCTGCTGTTGCTGACTTGCGGTCCAGCCTTGGTCAGGCACGAATATTTTAAAAATCTCTCCAGGGCATTCTAATGGCCGGCTGGGGCTGGGAGCCACGTGCGGGGCGGGCGGGCGGGCGGGAAGGAGGTTATCGCGAGACTTGGGCTCCCAGGACACCCAGCACCTTCTGACACAAGGGTGTGTGGGGGTTGACTGAGGGAGAGGAAGTTGGGGCGGGGCGGGCCTCGGCTCGCCCCACCCCCCGCTCAGGCCCCACCCCTCCCCCTAGGAGCCGGGCTCCGCCTTCCTGCAGCTGGGCGTGTCCCTGGAGCAGCAGCTGCAGGTGCTGTTCAAGGTGCTGGAGGAGTACGACTGGAGCGCGTTCGCCGTGATCACCAGCCTGCACCCGGGCCACGCGCTCTTCCTCGAGAGCGTGCGCGCCGTCGCCGACGCCAGCTACGTGGGCTGGCGGCTGCTGGACGTGCTCACGCTGGAGCTGGGCCCCGGCGGGACGCGTGCCCACACCCAGCGCCTGCTGCGCCAGCTCGACGCCCCGGTGCTGGTGGCCTACTGCTCGCGCGAGGAGGCCGAGGTGCTCTTCGCTGAGGCGGCCCAGGCCGGCCTGGTGGGACCCGGTCACGTGTGGCTGGTGCCCAACCTGGCGCTGGGCAGCACCGACGCGCCCCCCGCCGCCTTCCCCGTGGGCCTCATCAGCGTCGTCACTGAGAGCTGGCGCCTCAGCCTGCGCCAGAAAGTCCGCGACGGCGTGGCCATCCTGGCCCTCGGCGCCCACGGCTACCGGCGCCAGCACGGAGCCCTGCCCGCCCCGGCTGGGGAGTGCCGCGGCCACCCTGGGCCTGTCAGCCCTGCCCGGAAGGCCTTCTACAGGTGGGCACCTGCCCAGGGCATAGGATGGCCACGAGTGGCCATGAGTTTGGGCTCACTGGTCACACCTCCCACTAAGTGTGTGCCTGCGGCCAAGTGACCTCACCTCTCTGGGCCATTGTTTCTTCATCTGAGAAGAGAGCGGGGTGTGAGGGTGTGGTGAGGATCTCGAGGGTCAACACAGGGAAACAGAACAATAATTACACAAATGCTACCTGTTGGTGGCGGTGATGAGGCAGAAGGTGGGGGAGGGCACATCTGGTCCTGGTCAGGGCTAAGAGGATCCTGGCTTCTCCCCCGTCGCAGGCACCTACTGAATGTCACCTGGGAGGGCCGGGACTTCTCCTTCAGCCCTGGTGGGTACCTGGTCCAGCCCACCATGGTGGTGATCGCCCTCAACCGGCACCGCCTCTGGGAGATGGTGAGAAGGGGGTGAGCCCAGGGACCCTCAGCATCCTTTCATTGTATCCCCCCCTCTTGTCCCACAGCTGAGCAGAGAGTCCCTTCTGTGCCTCATCCAGCCCCTCATCCTTCAGGTCTCAGCTGAAACATTTCCACTGAGAAGCCTTCCAGGTCCCCCAGGGGGTCTGAGGCAGCCCTGCTCCGGGCTCCCACAACACCCTTCACTATAGAACCTATCAAGCACTCTTATTACACAGTCTTGACCCTGGAGGAGTAACCCACAGCTGTGCTGGTTAGACGGACACGTAAACAAATAGAATTTGGGGAGGTCAGTGCTTAAGAAACAATGTTTGCAAAGCATTATGGGAATAGAGAGGAGGGGCAGAAATTAGTTCTGCCTTCAAAGGAGGAAACTGGGGAAGGCTTCACAGAAGTTGGGATATTTGGGCTGGGCTGTGGATGGTTGAGTAGGAGCCCATCGGGAAGGGATAGTAGCCTGGTATAGACTGAGGGGAAGGAGGGTTTAGAGTTTTTTTGTTTTATTTTGGTTTTGGTTTTGGTTTTTGCCATGCCACGCAGCTTGTGGGATCTTAGTTCCCTGACCAGGGATTGAACCAGGGCCCATGGCAGTGAAAGTGCCGAGTCTTAACCACTGGACTGCCAGGGAATTCCCCTGGAGCATTTTTAAGTGATGCGTTTGGAGGTGTGGGGACTGGGGAAGAAGGGTAGGGTGATGGAGATAAACTGGACCTGTGAAGGGCCTTGAGTGCTGGGCTAAGGACTTTATGTGAAGCTTGGGGGAATGAGTGCGGTGTGACAGGCTCAGGTCTGGGCTTTAGGAAGAGGCTGTGAGCCAGCAGCAGCGTGGAGGCTGGACTGGAAAGTGCGGGGACCAGAAGCCAGGGAGGCTGCAGGGAGCCCTCTCCTTGGCCAGCCCCTTGCCCCAACTCTCCTGTTCTCCAGATGCTCCCGCCCCAGGCCCTGCTTCGTCCTGCCCCAAGTGACCTTAGGTGTGGTGGGGGGATTCTTGGTCCTGGCAGGCCTCGCCCTGAGGCCCCACCTATAGCGTGGGCTTAGTGGGGCTGAAGGGCCTGGGCTGAGGCCGGTCATCCTTTGCAGGTGGGGCGCTGGGACCATGGTGTCCTCCACATGAAGTACCCGGTGTGGCCTCGCTACAGTGCCTCCCTGCAGCCCGTGGTGGACAGCCGGCACCTGACGGTGGCCACGCTGGAAGAGCGACCCTTTGTCATTGTGGAGAGCCCCGACCCTGGCACAGGCGGCTGCGTGCCCAACACTGTGCCCTGCCGCCGGCACGGCAATCACACCTTCAGGTCCGCGAGAACACCCGGGAGGCCCGGTGTGAGCCATGTGCCGCCGTGCGATGGCGGGCGTTGTGTGTGTCTTACGCTGGGGTATAGGGGTGGGTGTCCACCAGCCAGGCTGGGAGGAGCCGCTGGCTCTGACCCCTGCTGGTCTCTTGGTGGCAGCAGTGGTGACACGGCCCCCTACACCAAGCTTTGCTGTAAGGGCTTCTGCATCGACATCCTCAAGAAGCTGGCCAAGGTGGTCAAGTTCTCTTACAACCTGTACCTGGTGACCAACGGCAAGCATGGCAAGAGGGTGCGCGGCGTGTGGAACGGCATGATCGGGGAGGTAGGCCCGCCCCCAGGCCACCTGAGGCCGCCCACCTGCCCGCCTGCTGCCCTGGGCCCCATCCATCCGTCAGCCACCCCCCGATGTTCCTTAGGTGTTTCCTCCTGTTCTGGGGATCAGTCAGGGTGGGACCCAGGCCCAGCTCCTAAGGGTCTCCGAACTGAAAGGGGCACTGTGCTGGCACCAATGATGACCCCCCGGGTCAGTACTGAAAGTGGAGCTCTGAGGACCCAAGTGGGAACAACTGACTCAGTTGGTGGGTGCTGGATGCGGGGCTGGGAGAGGAGTGGGGGAGTCCTCCAGCCTGCGGGAGCCCCTCCTCTGATCCGGGCCTGACCCCCAGGTGTACTACAAGCGGGCAGACATGGCCATTGGCTCCCTCACCATCAATGAGGAGCGCTCCGAGATCGTGGACTTCTCTGTGCCCTTCGTGGAGACGGGCATCAGTGTAATGGTGGCTCGCAGCAACGGCACCGTCTCCCCCTCGGCCTTCCTGGGTGCGGCTTGGGGTGGGCAGGGAGAATGCAGAGGGGCCCACGAAGTGGACATGTGGAGCGTGGGTGGAGATGGGGTGCTTGGGATGCACCCTCAGAGGGCACCACTGCAGCCTTGGGTCCTTGGAGGTTAGCCAGAGGCCTGAGCTATAATAGGTGGGTAGGACGGAGAGGGAAGAGGTGATGTCCAGGTTCAGTCCTGAGCCTGGGTGCTCGGTAAGGGCGGGGGATGGGGAGAGCGGGGTAAAATGTGGTGCCATTGTGAAGGACAGGAAGACCAGCGAGGCAGGCTGCCTACAGGAGGTGCCTCGTGGGCTGGGACATTGCTTTTTGTTTTTTGTTTCATTTTTTGGCCTCATGGCTTGTGGGATCTTAGTCCCCTGACCAGGGATTGAACCCGCACCCTCAGCGGTGAAAGCGCAGAGTCCTAACCACTGGACCACCAGGGAACTCCTGGGCTGGGCCGTTGGGACAAGGGGAGAAGATTCACGGGGGGTCGGAGGAGCCACAACCCAGAGCACGGGAACCCGGGCTAGTTTCTGACTTGATTAGGAATTCAGCATTTCTTGGGCAGCTCCCTTGTGCCGGGTCCCACGCTAGGTGCTGGGATCCAGCCATAGTCCTAGCCTTCTCAGAGCGCCCAGTCAGAAATTCAGGTGGGACTTGCAGTATGGGATAGTTCAAAGAGCCCTGAGGACAGGTGAGCCTCTCGACCAGGAGCAGAAGAGGGAATCCCAGGTCTGCCTCTTCCTGCTGTGTGACCTTGGGCAAGTCACTGAAC